GTCATATGATACAGTTGTCCAGCGCACTCGTGTGGGTTGCCTCCTGCCGCTCGTCGCCATTACTGTCCACTAATTACTGTCCTCCCTCGTCTCTGGCGGTTTTTGTAGTCCCACTCGACTTCAGCCAGACCCTTTCATGACGTCATCCTCAAGACTTAAAGTCCGAAATATCAAACATGTTTGAAATAAATCGGGCCGTCCTCGACGATCTCCAAGCAGATCAGGGACGTTAGGATTAGTTCTTTGTACAACTCACACTTCAAGATCATCTGGAAAGATTATCAGTTCCAGGAAGAGTGGAGTCGGGAACGAACCCCTCGATTGTCAAGGAAGGAGGAATCGGACCTCAAACTGGCCCGATTATCCTCCAGTCTGAGCCAGGCTTAAGAAGAGGTTTAAACTTCCTGAATACCACGTTCAACGTTGCCATGGAGACACATTCAGTTGAAGACAACTCGCACAGTAAATTCCAGTGTGCAGGTATGTACTCAGAGGAATGTAATTGCTCAATGTAAATTTGCAGTCATATCTGGCCCAAGAAGGTAAACAGCGTCAGGAATGACAGGCAGCAGATAAGCACCACACCAACAAGAGGTGAAGTATTTGATGTATGTCACGCATCTTTGTCGTCTTTCTTCCTCAGGGTCAATGAAAGTCCACAGGTGTTACAGGAAGGACAAATAAAATCTGTCTGATCTCTTTCAAACTCTCAGCCCCAAATTGAAGCCTGTCATTTCTGTAATTGCTTTAAATGTCAATAATAACCATGTTGACTCGCTGAGTCTATGTGGCCGGCACAACACGCTTTCTGTTGTCATCTCTTCAAGCTGACTTTTATTAATTGGAGCACTTGAGCGACAGGGCTTGTCAGGATCTTAACGCGTCGCTGCTGCAGCTGTTGGCTGGTTTCCAAAAAGACCAAAACCTCTTGTAAGTGATATCATCTGTAAAGAGTTTTTCAAAAGGATCTCTCTATACCCTGTAGGCCTCAGGGTGGATCTGCTCTGCGTACAGCTGCTTTGCTTTGCTAAACTCCTGTAAACTTCTTTAAAGGATTTATTATTTGTTTTAAACTGTGCAACTGGAAACCAGTCAGCACGTTGTTAAAGAACATAGTGATACTATGTGCAATGCTCTTACATAATCACAACAAGGTAATACTGTGACTTTGTATATATCGCTTCATTTCTTCAATTCTCTGTGCTTGTTGTACTTAATGCTTCATTTCTAATGTATACCTCTTATTTTGGTGATATTTCTTTGTAGGTACAAATATTTTCTTCTGCTTTTTTGTGTATAAGAACAACTGTAGCGCACACAGGGGATTCATTAAGTATTCATGATTGGGATTCTGATCATGCTGACTTGAGGGTGATGGCTCTGATGAAATGGAAAAAACGGCTGCCACAAAGTTACCAGAAACAAACCAAATCAGACAAATGAGACGTCATTAGTGAGTCTGAAATGATCTCTCTTTAAAGAATACAAAAGCTTTTAAAAGAGGTGAAAACTATTTTTTCCGATTATTATCTTTCCCTTTAAAGGCAATCTAAAAAAAACAAAATCTGCTTTGAAATTTATGTCAAGACTTTTCAGACACTTTAATTTTAATGTTAGGCAGGTTTCTTGTACAAAACCTTTTTTTTTTCTATACTCCACCTCTGCATTCATAACCTATATGTGAATGTATATTTCAGCTCTTTTTCCCTGTTGTTTCTGCACAAAAACGACACTCTTCAATATAGTACAACAAATGTTCACAAAAGCATGTGGTGAGTTCAAGTTTGCAATAAACAAAGGGAACAACATTGACCAAAACTGATGCAGTCTATTGTTAATGTGGGATGGTATAACCTGCAAATTGACGCCACTTTTCTTGTCTTAAAGCCACTTTAAGTGCTTGAAACTATACTGCAACTTTGACCTGACTCCCTGCGACATATGCACGACAGGAGCTGGGTATTCATCCATTAATGGAGGATCTACTTTGTTAAATCAACCAACTAGCAAAGCTCCTCCAACCGTTCATTTTTACTGTTTCGCAAGTCCTCTCCCTCGATCACTGGGCCATACTGTAAATATGACGCCAAACAAGTTCAAAAGGGAGTGAGTTAGGTCTTCAGATTGCCAAACTCAATGTTATGCTGTTAGATGTGACAGAGGTATGTTTTTTTTTTGTTTTTTTTATCACATATTTATTAGAATTACCCAAAGCCTGCAAACAGACTTGAGGTGAACTTGCCCTTCAAGCCCACTGAGGCACAGATCTAAAAACGAGCATCCCATGGCAGAGTTCAAGGTTAAATTCAAAGCTCTTTAGATTAAGATGAGAAAACATTAACTTAACTAACATTAACATAACAACTAATGAAGCTGATAAATGAACAAGTTTTAAACAGATATATTAAGAACCTAACTCCTCCTGAACTGCTTGTCTTGTGAGCTACAGAGGAAATGAAGATGAAGTGTTCCTATGAGGTAATGTTGGCTGCTTCCTCCTCCCTGCAGTAGCACCACAGCTCTGATCTTGACATCAATCACCGGCGGGCAGATATGCAATCTCACTGTGCAAACAATTAAAGGCCACTCCTCTCCACTCCAAACTACTCACTCGTGTTGCTGCGTTGAGGATTAACCCAATGTGCTTACACATTAACCCCAGTGACACACCAATGAATGGCATTCCTGAGAACTGTGTTTGCTAAATCAAGGGTAATAAAGCGCAGCGTAGAGCTACTTGTTACTAAGAGTGTTGTCTGTTTGGTTACCTTTGAACTCGGCCTCTAAACTGCCATTTTTAACTTGACAATTAAGCCAAAAACACCGGCAGGATTTTTAATCTGTTGTTTGAGTAAACACATAAATAACTTAAAAAGCTTTTTTATTGTGATGAATATTCTTAAATGACGTAACAGTCAAGAGGGAGGCAATTATTTCAATTGTCTTGTAACTATTTCGGTGATAGATGAAGAACACTTTTACAGTCAGGGCTAAACTACCGGAAGACACGAATGCCCTGTTCTTTATCAATGGTCCATCCTAATTTTAAGCAACGATGACCACATTTTATTTTAAACCTAAATCTCACCTTACCTCTTAAAGCAACAAAAACAAACATTTGATTTATTTTTGCTTCAGTAAACTGTACCCTGTTTCAAAATGTAAACCCCCTCTTCTTAAAAAGATAAGAACTTTTTTTTGGTCATGTTACCAACGTAAGCAGGACCACAGGAGGCTAATGTTAGCCAGGAGGCTAGCGCTAACAGTACTGATCGAATGTGCATACGCGGGTTTGAATCACATGCTGGGAGGGCCCATTAACTGGACCTTTTAGGGGCCCAGCCATTTCTGCTGGCGGGCCTGGGTAACGGGCAAGTATACCAATCAATGAACAATATTACAATAACCAATTAGCCCCCAAAAAAATCAACTTGTTTCATGTTAATCATTATGTAACAATAAAAAAGTGTTAAGGTCACATGATTTTACGAGTCAGTTTTCAAGTTTGTGTATAGAAATGAGATAAAAGTTGAATTTTAAGTAAATGATTATTTTATCTAAATTCTCGACATTTTTTTAAACTTTATTTATACATTTAAACAATTCTTTTTAATTGTGAGGTTTTGTGGTTGGTTAAATATTTAGTGGTTCTGGTTAAAAAGGAGAATAGCAATATATATTTTAAATTGCCCCTTATTTGTACCCATTGTTAATTGTACCATAAAGTACCAAAGAATATGTTATCAGAAAATCTCTTCAATAAGCCACCAGTATTTTACTTCCTGACTGGCAGCATTGTGCAGTCAGTCATTGGCTGTTGTGTAACCTTGAGGAATCCAGTTGATGTTGAAGACAAATTTGAAAACAATGTGCGGTTGTGAACTCGTCAAAGACTCTTGACTGGAGTGCATTAGAGTGGCAGGTCCCTGAAGAAGCAAAAGAATATGAGAGGAATGTCTTGAGTGATATGAAAACAAGCAGTTTCCTTCACAACCTTTTGGCCGGGCCTCTACAAGGTCTACCTTGAGACAATCTTTCCACTGTAGTGGGGGGAAAAATGGTTGGAATCACAAAAACAAGAATCTACAACTGTAACTCCTGATAGGCAGCTGCAGATATAGAGCTCCTCTGTGTGCTATATAATCCCCACACAGCTGGACTGATGTAAAATAAACCTCTGTTTGGGGACAGACAAAACGTTGGAACATCCTGAGAGACAGTTGAGGCTAAGCAGTGTTGTGTAACTTGTGTAAAACGCCACAAAGAAACCCATTCAGAGAGGGGCTTGTAGCAGTGATAAGTCCATTCAGACAACCTGTAAAAACTATGATTGCAGTTGTTACAGGACTCGTCTTGTGTCACAAACTACACAAACAAACAATGAAGACCCAGCGGCGTTATTAGCCAGAGCAGCGAGTCTCGATGTTGCAAATTGAAGTCTAGTCTTGAGACATTTCTGAAAACAGTTGATAAAAGATATCAGGAGTAAATCTCTCCAAACCAAAGGCCTCACCAGACAACTGAGACAGAAGCTGTAGTGATGAAGTCCGGAGATCGTGTTTTCAGGTCACATTAAGTTTGTCTTCTGGAGAAATCAACCACAATCATCTGCCTCTTATCTATCACTCCAGATACATCTCAAAGGACAAGTCTACATCAGCACAACTGTTCATTTGTAAAAAGCAAGTCTGCCTATCATATCCTGGTTTCCTTTTAATTGTTGCAGTATTTTAAAGAGTTCCAAATTGAATAAAAATGGCTCTTGACTTTAAAACAGATCTGGTTGAGTTTAGGACCACCCAACTCATGATTTTACTCTGACTTAAGGTGTAAGGCCAGGATATGTATCACAGCAGTCAAGTCTGAAGTCATCATGTGTGTATCTTTGGTCTGACTCAAGGCCGAGTCTCTGGTTTCCTGTGCACAGTATTACTATCAGCAGAGAGAAAAAGCAAACCAACACATTTCTATTAAAACACAGAATGTGTGTTGTGACTTACCTCTAGTACTGGTCCCGCCCCCAAGATAATCTGCTCCACTCCACTGGCAAAACCCTTCTGGCTGAGAGCGGTCAGGTGATGAATGAGGAAGTTCGTGCTTTGCGTCTTCCCAGAGCCGCTCTCCCCTGATATCACGATGCACTGATTCCTCTCTCTCTGCAGCATTGCGTGATACGCTACATCTGCCACAGCATAAATATGTGGCTCCAAATCTCCCAGTGTATGATTATCATACATCTTCACATACTTGGGGTTGTAGATGGGCAGGAACTTGAAGGGATTAATGACGATGAGGATGCTTCCAACGTAGGTGTAGATCCTTTCCTGGCGGAAACGTGAGCGCAGGTTGTCCAGCAGCGAGCGCTCGTTGAGCTCCGGCAGGCGGCACAGATCCGCGTGGTCTCCCTGAGACTCCGGCTGGGGAAGCAGTCCTCGTTCCATCATGCGCCTGCGCTCTTCTGTGACCTGCAGCCACATCTGGAGGCTGCCGCCGTAGTGGATCGAGCCGTCCAGGTTTTTCTGCCTCAGGAGGAAGCGGTAATCCTCGCCGCCAGACAGTGGGCGGTGCTCTAGAGCCACACGGGGCCACAGCATCATCCTCTGCACGGGACAGTCGCAAGGGTTCAGAATCCATTCTTCTCCACCAAACTCCTTCACCTCAGCCAGAACGTAACACTTGGTGCGGTCAAGCTGCAGGCGTTCGATGACGCGTTCAATGGCCTCGGCAGCTGTGGTGGTCTTGCGGGCACTGATCGGGCAGTAGATGGTTCCCTCGGCCAGGGCGCCGGGGTAGATGCGCACAGTGAACTCTGAGTTCTCGAAGCGCTGCCGCCGGCCAAGCGTGCCCATGCCACCAACGCCATCACGGGTACTCATGGCGGAGCAGGAGTTCCCATTAGCAGCAGCCCGGCACTGGCACGTCCTTCACTGGGCTGGAGAGGACCACCAACTCAAGACATCACCACTGTGAAGAACAGGGAGACACAGAGATGAATCAATACCCTGAAGATTGGTATGAAACTGAAAACTATTCAAATTTAAATACAACAGAAATCAAAGATAACAAACTGAAGCACTAGCAGGAATGATACTGCATATCTATGATCTCAAACTGCAATAAAAGCTGATTTCTCCCAACTATTCAATTAATCTAAAACCCAGCCACAGCCCTCTGCAATCTGGCTGGATTATGAAATTCGTCAGATTATGACAGAAAAACTTCATGTGCTATTACGTAATCGACTAAAGGGCCAAATTATTCTGCCGCAGCCTGACATGCACACTCATAGAAGATGAGGGATAAGTCATCAGGATCTACAGGATTACCATTAACACACACACACACACACACACACAAGCACACACATAAGCTCTCGCCAACGCCACGAACCAGCAGCTGCCGCTCTCTGCGCTGAACGCACAATCACGGCCATTCACAAGTTTCTTCATTAATACACAGCAGAGGGACTTCATGGGGTGAGGAGAGGCCACAGAGAGAGAGAGAGAGAGAGAGAGAGAGAGACTGTGGTGGGTTTGATGACTGCGCTGCTGACAAAAACTCTGCAGTTCTTCGCTATCATCAGGATTCTGGACAGTTCATTGACACAAGCACTGACATGAAAATCTAAATCTGAACTGATAAGTTGACCAAAATGTTCATACGTTTTTTAAAAAACAAGCATCCAAATAGGGTTTCACTATTGAGCCACATGTTCAATTAGGATTTTAATCCGTTTTACAATAACTCATATTTTCATTCAAATGGTGCTGGGGTTAAGAGGCCATACAAGCTCCATTTACCCCCATGTGAATTGAGTCTTGAAAACTGAAAATTAAGGAGCTTTATAGCCAAAAGAACATCTATGAAATATATCTTAAAAAGATGCATTATATCCTGCAGGTAAGACTATAGAACATTGTGTAGACTCTGACTATCACTGAAGCCATTTTTTGCTCTAAGGGGATGATCCTTGCTGTGACATTTGAGGCCTTGTATTCTGACGAAGTATAAAATTAAAACGATGCAAGTATTTTTGTCCTTATCAGCCAAAAGTTTTCTGGCGGCTGTATCGAGGTCTACCTTGCAATAACTAATGTATTCGTCCCTCTGATAGCACCACAGCCTCGTGTATCATCAGTCTGAAATGTTCAGTGCATACCAGGAGTTATTATGTGATGTGCTGTAATTTGGCTTTATGTCGTACACACTCTCTTTCAACTTGTCTGAGTTTTGCTTGAGACGCCGACTTCCAAAGCAGAGGAATTGGCTTCAACTTGTTGCCATTAGCTGTGGCTCTTCAAGTGAAGAGAGAAATGACTGCTGAAAGAATACTTACAACTTTCCTATTAATTAAAGAGTGACTGGTGCTGTGGCACCTTTACATTCTTCTCTTAAACGTTATTATGTCAAACATTAAGTGTGCCTGTCTCTTCTTCACTTGATCTCTCCCTTTGTTAATGTTGAGCTTCTGTAGTAAATGTGAAAATCCAACAAAGAAAACGATCACTGACTCAAATGTTTTAAGGACTGACAATAAATAAGAATCCTGCTATCGATATCATGGCTTAAACTGCACTGACACCAAGCCATAAGGTCTTGTGTCCATTAACGGCACTTTCTGCACTGGCAGCGCTCACGACTTTAGTTTCAGAGCGCTTCTCATCAGTGCTTATTGTTGCTAGGTTACTAAAGCTAACTTGTAGGGGGCGCTGGTGGCTTATCAGTGAGTCTGTGCACCCTTCTGTACAGAGGCTGTCGTCATCGAAGCAGGGGGCCTGTTTCAAATCTGACCTGTGGATCCTTTGCTGTATGTCTTCCCCATTCACTCGCTCCTTGATTTCAGACTCTATCCACTGTCATGTCTCTCAAATAAAGGCACAAGAAACCTAACCCCTCTGTCGTTAGCTCTGTTTTAAATAGCTCTGTCTGCTTAATATTAACATAAAACAATGTACAGACTCATGTCCGGGCATTAGCAGAAGCTCTAGACCTGGACACTGTACCCTCGAAAAATACTATTATTGATATTTTTTTGTTGAAATGAGTTTCTCCTCCACTACTGTAGTTGTTGTTGTAGTTGCTATCAGATGTCCCGCCTCCTCTTAATATCGATAGGTCAGTTAGGCAGAAGTGACACTTCATTGGTAAACAAACTGCACCAGAGTTAGATTACAGCTTTTTTATGCTTTTTTTGTTTCATGGCAGGTAGACAATTAATAACTTGGTGACAAATAAAAGTCCAGCAGTGTGAGATATAATCTATGAAATAAACTGCATGAATCTATGACGTTTCCTGAAGGTTCAATCATCTATATCAAAAAGCAGGAAGATCAAATCAGACTACATTCCTCACCTGTTCTCAAACATCACAGAAAGAAAGAAAACAGGAAATGGACCAGGGACGCAATCAGTTGGTAACAGATTCGATCATCACGAAAAAAAAACTCCAGCAGAGAAATGAGAGCTGCACCCCTGGTCACTTCCTGTCGCCCCGTATCCAACCTATCATGCCATGTGTCGCCTCAGCAACTTCACTTTAACCACCAGCACACACACACACACACACACACGGGACCTTTCCCCTTTCCAAATACAGACACACACTCAAAATGAGATGCAGAAAATCAGACCCTTGACCCCTCATTTAAAGCCTTCAGTCAAACTGCAGTCGGCTGAAGTCATACATACAGGTAGTATCCGGTATTAACTCGCTGATGGATGGATGTTTGTTTACCCATTGGACAGACCTTTCTGTGTTTTTGTATTCTGAGCAGTGTGTTAGGGCCTGGTGCCTGGAACAGATGGTCAGCTTGCTGCTTAAGGGATGAGAGGGGGTGTGTGTAGGGGGGGGTTATAGCAGAGCTGGACTGGACTGGGCAGTACTGGTCCATGCTGACTGCTCCTCTGTTTACCATCACACGAGGAAAGTCGACCGAGAGACATTACCACTGATACTTTTATTTTGATAAAAGTTGCAGATTGGTCGTGTCGTCATGTGACTCCGCCCTGAAAGTAATCGAAATAATCGACATGGGCAAGATTACATCGGTTAGGGGTTCTCAACGTCGGTTTCGATTAATTTCCGATTAATTTCCCAGCCTCAGGTCTTTCCCTTTTTAAATGTAACAATGTATTCTGTTTTCTCTCATACACAAAAACCCCGCACAATGCACGTCCACTCCCTGCACTGTTGATATCACTCTCATTGTTCTGTGATAATATTCACAGTAGCAAACACAGAGCCACCCTCCGCTTCTAACAGTGACCTTTTGTAAAACTAAAGACGCAGAACGAAACAGAGTGAGCAGAGGAGAAGAGAAAATGTTTGAGCCATGATGTCAGTCCACATGGTAACTTTGAAAGGAAAAAGAGCAGGTTTGATGGAGATAAGGTGCAGGTTTACGCCCTGAAGCGAGCACAGCTGGGGGAAACCTGCGGCGGCCTCTTCCTCTCCTCCAACAACTGAACCAGGAACAGATCCAGTTACATCACCTGAATGCTCAGAGATCAGGGAATCTCAGGCCCTTTCCGAATTGTCACAGTTTCACAGTTCAGTAGGCAGTGTGTACTTTTCAGTCGGGAGTTTCAGTATACTCAACTTTCGTGGTCATTCAGTATGCATTTTTTGGGTCCGCCTCAGTATACTGAACATTTCAGTATGGATACTAACTTCCTAATTAATTGAATCAATTTTTAATCTAGAGTTGAAGTCCCTACTGAAATCATTACTTTTAATTAACAACAGAAAATATAACAAATGTCTGCATTATTATAAAACCTTTTCCCCTCTATTTAAATAATGATTTGACTATTTAAATGTGTCTTTATTGTTTTTTTTACTTGATATTCTGTACATTACTGTCTTTCATTTGTACTTTCCTTTATGTACTGTATGTTATTTAGTTATTTAATCTGTCTTTGATTTACATTGTGATATTGTTTCTTTTTTACCTAACTGCATTACTCCTCTTGAATAAAGTTAAACAAAAAAAACAAAAAACGGGTGGATGCGGGTGGTTCGGGAAACGCAAATGACGCCACTTCCACACTGAATGAATCAGACAAAGTAGGAACAAATATCTGCCTACTGTGCGCACCTAATGAATTGTAGGTACTAAACAGTATACAACATGGATAGTAGGTACTGACAGATTGAGTAGGTACTTTTTTTTTTTACAATTTGGATACACCCTCAGTCAAGTAATCTGACCTGAGATCTGTTTAAGGAAACTTTCCTGAGCAGATCAGGACTGACCCAATCTGAACCAAGATATCTACAAAGCTGGAATTTAGTCGAAGTCAAATCTGTATAGGCAAAGCCAACAATGCATGCGGCGCTGCTTTGAGCCACCTAAGACCACCTGAGACCAGATGGTATCTGAGTTCAGTAGAGTTAAGAGTAAAGTTGCAATTTATCTGCAGAGATCAGCGGTGAAAAAACCACCTGTAACGGGAGCCAAACATGAACAATGACTTGTTGTGTTCAGGATGGGCCGAGTTTCAGATTTGAAAAAAAACCCAGTGGATTTGATAAAGCTAATTCGATTCAACAATTACCTTCAGCTATGGTGTTTCCATTATAAAGAAAGAAATGACCGATGAGTGGATAGCAAAGTTCCCTCCATTAATGAAAGACTGACTTGTGTTTATACTCCTTTAAATTAAATAAATGCTCCTTTGAAATCTGTGCAGAAATGTGTGTCTCTGCATCATCTTTGGTGGGTTTTTTTCCTTTCTGAATGCTAATTATCCAAAGCAAAGTGTGAATAGCTTGTGATTTCCTCACAGTTTTTTTCTGCATGAATCTTTTCCCATTTGAAATATAATAAAAGCGCTAAGGGTTGTGTGCATATACCGATAGTTTGGTTCAATCAACAGTGTTAAATTAAAGGACTTTGACAAAGGAAAGGGTCATATGTTTGCATGTTTGTTGCGGGAATTGCAAAATGTGTGGCAACTATTTG